CGATTTACAAAATGGCAGCTACACTTTCTCTCTTACTTGTTTGTGGAATGGAACAGCTTTGGTATTATTTTTTTGTTGTTGCAGTTTTTAAAAACAAAATAATAGTAGTAATAATAATTTAAAAAAAAAACCCTCTAAAAGCCATAACATAGGTTTAATATGATAAATGGAAATTCTCTACGTCTGTTTCTTAAAAAATATATAAATTAATGTTGCCAGGTAAAGGTAGCAATCTCCTACCCACGGGAGTTTATAAGAATCGTTATCCACCAGATCCACATTGGGGTGGCCAGGTACATGACGGGAACTTTCATCAAAGAACAAATTAAAGAGGTATTTCCAAAAAATTACGTAGCCTATGCACGTCCCCTAAAATTGTATACATATTCTTTCTTAAATTTCTTCATAAACCATATTTCTGATTAAAAAAAAATATTTTATTGCTTAAAAAAATCAATACATGACAGGAACTTTCATCAAAGAACAAATTAAAGAGGTATTTCTAAAAATTACGTAGCCTACGTACGTTTACCCTAAATTGTATACATATTCGTTCTTAAATTTCCTGATAAACCGTATTTCTGATTTTAAAAAAATATTTTATTGCTTAAAAATATCAATACAAAAATCAATTAAAAAAAAATCAAATTTAATTTGCCCACTAATTTGTTGTACTATATAAACAGGATACTATTTGCTTTAATACCCCCAACATACCTGGCTGGGAATGTATTTGTAACTTCAGCAAGTTTGGGTATGAGAATTATTACTGTGGTAGACCGAGGGACACTAGGTAGGAGAAATACAGATCTTTAAATACTTGTACATATAAATTAAAACTGTATATCGATTTATATATATATATATATATATATATATATATATATATATATATATATATATATATATAATGACATTACCTATGTACTAATTATAAAAATACGTTTTTGAAATCATTTTACGCAACGCTTTAATTAAAGCTATTTTAATTGAAGGTTAACCTGCGATGATTGGTTGTATGGAGACACTTTAAATGTGGCACCTCCGCATGACGTAACAGCCGCTGAACGGGCTTTGACTCTTTCTATAATCGGGTAAACACTAGCCTCGTGGAAACAACATCAAGAGCTACAATGTACATGTTTCTCACATTTCTAAGCAGAGTTTCTTCCAGGCATCTCTTCGGGTTTCTGCCCGAAGAAAGTCTACCCCCCCCCCGAACTAAATGGAATATACTTTTAAAAGTGTCCGCTCCCCCCCCCCCCCGAAAATTTCAAGCCCCCCCCCCCTCCCCCCAGAGAAGAAAGTCTGGAAGAAACACTATTTCTAAGTTGTCTGATATAGGACTTAATAGTTTTAAATGTAATTTTGGATTACTTTATCAGGTTTTGATATATCTGGTTATAAATTAATTTCTTTTTCTCAGAACACCAGCACAGCGAGTTGTGATGCCAGAAATTGAAGTTCTAATTGTAAACGAAGGTAAACTCTAAGAAAAAAAAATATATTGACATCTTGGACATTGCTACGCTTATGTAGCAAATATGTTGTTGGATTTTTGTAAAAATAACCCAGTAGCGTAGCGAGGGGAGGGGGGGGGGGGCGCCAAAATGGGTTGGAAAAATAAATTGAAAAGTTGAGGGGGTGCAAATTAAAAGTTTGAGGGGGGGGGGGGGGGGTGCAAATCGAAAGTTTGACGGGGGGGGGGGGGGGGTGCAAATCGAAATCGAAAAGTTTGTCCCCGGGTGCCGGGAAGGGTCGCTACGCCTCTGACATAACCCGGAAACGTTTTATAATTTGAATGCTAACCCGAGAGTTTCGATGTTGGATTGCATGAAATGTCTCTGTCCACCCAACTGCTGGATACCTGAATCTGGTTGGGGAAACTAAGACGGCTGGGGATAGTGCTGACCACAGTATGCCGAGCAGTGTTTCTTCCAGACTTTTTTCTCCAGGGGGGGGGGGGGGGCACTTGAAATTTTCGGGGGGGGGGGGGCGGTAGACTTTCTTCGGGGGGGGGGGGGCCGACACTGTTAAAAGTATATATTTTCTATATAAATTATATAAATTTCATTTCGTTCGGGGGCGGGGGGCGGTAAAATTTTTTAGGGGGGGGGGGCTCTGCCTGGAAGAAACTCTGATGCTGAGGTCACCGAATTAGCATGAACTCTACTTCATCGTGTGACTTTGGCGTGAAGGGGAAAAGATTATTTTGAATCCCGTGTGTTTATCTGATTGGTACATTTTAAAAGAAACTGTTGTTTACTGACAAGATGCGTAAGCGTTTAAAAAATTAAATAAATAATAATAATTTAAAAAAAAACAATAACAAAAACAGGGTCTCCAAACTTTTCAGTCAGAGGGCCGCATTAACTATCAAATTTCACTTCGAGGGCCAGTTTCTTCCAGGCATGTCTTTGATTTTTCTGGACAAAGTTCCTCAGCCATCACCAACAAACGTTTTTAACGTGGACAAAAAGATCTCCGCGGGCCGGATGAGAGGACGTCTCGGGCCGCATCCGGCCCGCGGGCCGTAGTTTGGAGACCCCTGACAAAAAACAACAACCCTACACTGTGGTGGTTATAAAACCACAGATACGTTAACACAACACAACGTGCTGAAATATTTGTTTTCACAGGGAACCTTCCTGAACTCTTGCCCTGTCGCGAGTCGAATAAAAACGTCACCTGGGTCAGGAGAACCCCTAAAGGCTACTGGTCATCCGGTAATGTCTGGAACTCCCTTGTCTGTAGAGACGAAGGAATCATCACAACGAACTGGACACGGCACTGTCTCCGGAACACTTCGGTCTGGATCTTCGGTGATTCCAACGGAAGACTCATGTTTTTTAGTTTTAACGACATAGCAAATTGCGTTGCAACGGAAGGGGAGTACCCCGATAAAGCAACCTGCGTGATTCCTGAGTACAACATCACCATAACGTTACTCGCGCACGAACCCCAGAACTACGTTTTGACCCGACGACACGACCCGAGTTCCTGACTTTATCCAGACACTGCCCGCAAACAAAAAACACGTTCTAATCATTCATTACTACCTCCACTTCACCCCGCCCATCTCAGTGTACTGTCGTTACGCATGAGGAAACTCAGAGAAGGCATCGAGAAAATGTTGGATTCGAACCCTAACGTTCTAATCGGGCTGAGGATACCTCACGTGACTTCTAAGTACTACACCGACACTCACGCCGTGGGCGGGGACCCCCTTGTCCCCCAGTACATCGACCTGATAAGGGAAAGATTCAGAGGTCTAGAGGATAGAGTCGTGTTCTTGGATTTGTGGGAAATGTCCATTGGAATAGAAAATGTCGACTATCATCCGCCACAATACATCAATCGTGAAATGATAAAATTTTTATTATCGTTTCAATGTTAGTATACCAAATCTAATATATATATATATATATTTATATATATATATATATATATATATATATATATATATATATATATATATATATATATATATATATATATATATATATATATATATATATATATATATATATATATATATATATATAGTGTAAAGAAAAATAGCATACGTGTATTATTTTACTGTGCATTTTAACTTCATATCTGAGACGTTCAAACCATGTTTGCATAGGTATTTAAACTCCACAAACAACTTATATCAAATACGTAATTTTGCTGGAATAGGAATGATTGATTTTAGAAACAATTAATAATGAATAGCAACCCCTCCCCCTTATATACCAAATAAAAAAAGTTTATATAGAAAAGTTAATGTTTTTAATCAGTGTCCGCCCATCACCACACGGAAGTTTCCGGTGCCCCTACCACGGAAAAAAATGTCCGAAATAAACCTTGTTTTCTACACGCGTATCTACCATTTTCTCCTCTATTCCTTAATCGTATGCAATAACCCATTATTTAAAAAAAAAAAGCTGTTAGTATAACGTGACATAATTCGGTGAAGTACAGATTACATTGGGGTCGATACTCATATACGCTTTTTGAGAATCACTCCACTAAAATAAATAATAGTTAAAAGAAGCTAGCTACAGTCCGGCAACAGTCCTTAGCTAAGAATTACTGCCAGGATATGCATGTGATGTAAATATGTGGGCAGTTACTATTTTTATTAGCTTTGTAAATTTTAATATTTTTATCAACAGCTCGAAGCCGAAATTGATAGCGATTGAAATTGTTCTTGAAACGGAAGTTATTTATTATTTTGTAACGTAGTTGTCTTTTTAAATACGTTGTGTCTGCATTACCGTTGAAAATATGTAATGCATTATGGAATATGGAAACATAAAATGTACACACAAATGACAAACTCGGCACAGCCGTAAATTATAGCGATTTCAACTTTTTACAGTTTTATCTTTTACCAAATGTTTAATTTTTATTTAATTTTGCCTGTCCCATATGCTAAATTACTACAAATTGTTAAAATACTCAAGCGAAATAATTCAATAAAATATTGTTTTTTCATTCTGTAATTGTGTCGTATATTTTTTGTTTTGTTTTAATCTTTTTGGAAACTGCCGACGATTTTAATGCCAAAGTCTGGAGTTACTATGCCTGCGAGGGTCGGCATGGTCTAGTCGGTAAAGCTCATGGTTGCTAAACCGAAAAACTCTCGAGTTCGAACCTTCGGGCAGATGAGGCTCGTTAGCTGGGGACAGCCACTCTTCTAGGAGAGACAACTCCAAAATCAAACAACTGCTGCCTTGTAGTTTGTTCTTGGTTGGACAAAGGCTACGGAAGCAAATCCAAAAAGAAAAGCAGGCTGAAATCGGAGTCAATGGTCTCAATGGCGCATAACCAGTTGACACGTATACTTAATTGTGATGGAAGCATGGTCGAGTCGACACAAACCATATCATGGTTGATAAATTCGAAACTCGAGTTCAAACCCTTTGGCAGATAAGGCTCGATCCCTGCCAACACTAAAAAATAAGAACGATGATGAAGAAGAAGAAGATTATGCCTGCTTCAGTGAAAACATAATGTCCGAACCAACACAGCTCCAAGTCGACAAAGGCATGTTGATTACGTCAGTCCATGCAGTAAGACAGAGGTGTACAAGGACTAATGTAACAACACTTCATCTTCTACATAGTCATCATCTTCATCTTCTCCCGTTTGTAACAACTTTTAACAACAAATCTGTATCTTTCTGACACGAACAGACACGTGTCTTGGGTGACATCTCTTTCACCAGGAACTGGACGGATTACAAGCTGGGCTTTGGCTCGTACATTGGCGACTTCTGGCTTGGAAATGAATTTGTCCACCAAATGACGTCGGAGGTAACTAATAAAATGTCCTCCTGATTTCAAATTATAGACTGTAACCTCATACAAAACAAGTTAATTAAAAAAGTCTAGTGACATTTATGCGCAATTTCCTTATGTTATCTAAAAATAGCTCTGACGTATAATGCTGGGGTGCGTTCAAGCTAGAAGAACGATCGGTTTGTAGGTGTTTATGTAATTTTAAATTTTGTGACCGAACGAGAGGATATTTTTGAAAACTTTCTTCGGCAATATTGTTCTAAATTATGGCAGGAATCGATTGGTAGATGTTTCAAGTCGCTAAGTGGTCTGGTTGCCGAGATATGGGCCAAAAACTGAATTTTTTTCGAGTTTTTTTGGCTCTTCCGGGAAATACATGAAAGAAACCCGGAATTTTTATAGCCTATGCTCATTCTCGTAACTTGCTTAACATAATTGCTTTTGGAACTAGTCATCGATATTGCTTCGTTGAGGAGGAGATACGACTTAAAGCCCGGACACACATTCATCCATACATTCATCCATCCATCCATTCCCAGAAATGACGAGTTAATAAACGCAATTCTCCAGAATGGAAATTGCGCTAAAAAAAAAAAAAAAAAAAAAAAAAAAAAAAAAAAAAAAAAAAAAAAAAAAAAAAAAAAAAAAACAACCGTACATGACATGTAATTCAAATTTGATTTTTTTTAACAGGGTATGCACCAACTAAGAATAGACATAATATACAAAGGCAGCTCGTATCACGCCGTATACAACTCGTTTAGGATCGAAGACGAGGCTTCCTCCTATACTCTACGTCTCGGACAGCATTATGGCAATGCCAAAGATCAACTCAACTACAATAAAGATATGAAATTTGCAACATACGACAGGGCAGACAACAATAACTGTGCTACCAGGCACGCTGGGGGCTGGTGGTTTGACAGCTGTCACTATGTCTTTCTCAATGGCATTTGGTTGTCCAGCAGTAACAGCGGTGTAGTTTGGTACGAGATTTCAGGCTTCAGTAATTCGCTGTGTAGCGTGGAGATGAAGTTTCGCAAGCAATTGTAGCTGTGGTTACCTCAGTCTCATCAACCATTGTCCAAGTAATGGTATTTTGATTAAAGACTTAAATACGAAACATAAATAAAGTGTTTAATTTTTTTAGTTGAGTTTTTTTTTACCCTAAAGCCTGAACGAAAACAATTTGATTAGTATAGTAAATACTAAAAGACTGAATGTATGTGCACACATACAATCGCTCACATAAACATTTTATTGAAATTGTTGCTAAGTCCACGAGTCTTCTTTGTACTTTACGACATAGCCCCCCTTCCTGCCCCTTAGAAAATTAAGTGCTTCCCCCCCGCCCCCCCCCCCCCCACTCCTGGGAGAAAAAAAGTCTGGAAAAAAAAAACACTGAAAAAAAAGTTCTTGTCGTGTTGGGCTCCCTGCAGTCCTCCCAAGGTGAGTTCTAAAACGGAACTTACCTGTTTTAAGCTTGAGTGTCTTTAGTTATAATTATAAAGTGTCTATAATATTGTGTGATTATGTAACGATTTTTTTTTGTTTTTGAAAAATAAAAGGTTCCAGCCTAAAATTGTTATATATGAATCCTTTAGGAGAGGGTGAAAAATACGAAAAGAAAATTAATTAGATGTTTAATTTACGACTAAGACTGTATGTCTACTAACATTAAGTATTGCAATCTATAACGGCAACTGATGTATTTGTTTTTCAACTTGATAATGCTAAAAAAACCTACCGAACTATTTTGTTTAGAACTTCTGCTCTATATAATTGTTACAATAGCAAATAATAACTTAAATTTGTATTTATCTGTAAGCGGTCAACCTAAGGTGCAGGAATTTGAAATGAATGTAATGTTAAGCAACGAATTATCTCCCGTTTGAAAATCCAAATACCAAAATTGTATTCAAGGGAAATAACTTTCACAAGAACGGCTAAATTAACCAAGTGTATCTAAGACATGCTTGAAAAACCCAATTAAAAGCTCTAAATTTCTTTACGTAATAATTATAACAAATCTTTCATATTAGATATGTAACCTTGTAAAAGCAATATATTTTACCTATTGAATACTTAACTGTAGGTTTATTTTGGAAGTCTAAAAAATCGTAGCTTGAATATAACATACTTCTATTCAATTTTGATTACATACTTTTAATTAACACTGCTAAGCATTAGGAATACATTAAAAATTTTGGATCCCCTAAATAAAGGGACGTCTTTCAAAACATTAAACACAGGTAACTGTTTTAGACATTGCAAGAATTATTGCTTAAAATACTTTAAAATATATTATTTGAAAAAAAAACAACAAAGTTTACAGTTAGTTATAAATTCCATCCTATTTAATATAATATATTAATACTCAGTGTTTAGCGACCTAGGCAAAACTTCTTAAAAGCGCCCCGTCCCTCAAACTTTCGATTTGCACCCCCTCTCAAACTTTCTTTTTGCATCCCACCCCTCAAACTTTCAATTTGTTTTTCCAACCCATTTTGGCGCCCCCCTACGGACAGCGCCCTAGGCGACCGCCTAGTTCGCCTTATAGGTAGCGCCGGCCCTGGTTCATACTTAGCGTGTAGGGAGAGAAGTCCACGCTGTATGCGTGTATGCTATCAAAACAACAGATCTTTACGGTTGCAAATTACACATCAAAAGTTTAAAAGTGGTGGGATTTAGCTGTCATTGGCTCGATTTGTTTGTGAATTGCTGTTGGTTCATGAAAAAAAAAATTCATTCAGGCATTTAAAAGACGATAGTGGTAGTGGAGGTAGGACAAAATGGTTACTTTTATGCCAAGATCAGTGTTTCTTCCAGACTTTTTTCTCCGGGGGGGCACTTGAAATCTTCGGGGGGGCGGTAAACTTTCTTCGGGGGGGCGGACACTGTTAAAAGTATATATTTTCTATATAAATTATATAAATTTCATTTCGTTCGGGGGGGCGGTAAAAAATTTTCGGGGGGGCTTCGCCCCCCCGAAGAGATGCCTGGAAGAAACTCTGGCCAAGATGTCGGGAGACGATTTGTCGAGAGCCAATATGTCCAGAGTCAATACGACGGGAGCTCATTTGACATTAGCCAATAAGTCGGGGCCCTTGTGACGGGACTATTTTGACTGGGTCGTTTTGTCGGGGGTCAAATTGACGGGTCCGCTTTAATGGAGTCGTTTTGTCCCCGGCCGTTTTGACGGTGAACCCGTTAAACCCTATAATCCGGTTACTATAACATCTTAAATTTTGCTCATATTTAAAAGCAAATTTTAGCTCGCTCGACAGTCGTATCTAAAAAATCTCGTTTATCGGGACACGACACTCGTATTTCGAGCTAGATCTAGATCTGTTTTACAGACGTCAAGCTCCTCAATAAAGCCTTAAAAGAATAATTTTTAGAAGGAAAAAGAAGTTGAAGTGTGGTATTGGTGGGATGAAGTAAAAAAATCGGCAAAAACATGAAGTCATTAAAGGACGATTTTTATCAAACACTCCCTATGATCCAGTTAGAATCTATATCGTCAAAATTTCAATAAATGGTAAAACATATTTAGGCCAAAGTTTTTCTAGAAATGCCAACCATCTAGATCTATCTCATAATTAATTTTGTCTATGCTAAATAAAGTTTTCTTTCGTATCTCCCGGAAATGTTTTAATATACAACATGGCAGCGCCCATGATGAAAACAAGTCACTTTCCTCTGCAATGTTTTCGTCATTGTATTGCATTCCACCCGCAAAAATTAATAAAATCACGCGACAACAAAGCTTGTTACTTAATAAGCAGGCATTGTTCCACGAAAACACAGCCTGCTGTACGCGTTAGATTCGCTCCAAGTCCCACTGGTTATCTTCATTTGGGTGGTCTTCGTACTGCTTTGTACAATTTTTTGTTCGCCCGGTCTCATAACGGAACTTTCATCTTGAGAATAGAAGATACTGATCAGGCATGAGCACTTCATGACTTATTGAATAGATCTAGGCCTAGCTACACTGATCATAGTTTTTAAAATATTTAGTATTTACTATTTATTTAGGGCTTAGGGCATTTTAGTATGATTTTAGGGCTTTAGTTAGGCCCTATGCCCCTATGCCCTATTTGAAATAGGCTATTTAAAGGCTATTAATATTTAATAGTAGGCCTATTTATTTGTAGTTTTTTTTCTGTCGTTTCGGATATTTACAATTTAGAATCAACCCTGTGGCGTATATTTAGCCTGTCGCTTGACCTATTTTCGCTTGACGTAGCCATTTAAAAGCAAACGTGTTTTTTCACAAATCATTTTTTAGGCTGCCGATTAATTTTGATAATTAAAACGGGGAGAATGTTTACACCGGTGACCGATAATGGAATCTTCTTTAAAAAAGAGGTGTTAGGTTATTGGTAGTTAACTAAATAAACACCCTGTCCCTAACCCCAACCCTGATCCTACCATACGGCTAACCCTAATGGACACCAGCGAGAAAAGTCTCAAAGGTATTTGAGAGGTGTATAAATAAATTCATTTAAAAATCATGCACAGCGTAGTTACAATTAATATGGTTATAAAATCCTGTCTGTCGGGTTTTTTTCGGACTTTACTAAAGATTGGATGTATTTGATGTTTATAATATTTTCGGTAACTAAATAAAAATTAAAAAAAAAGCAAAAACAATTTGGTTTTCACGTGTAATGGCGACATAAACAATGGCATCCTGGATAGGCCGCCATTGATTTTATTGTACACATTGTAAGCTAAAAATAGAAAACTAGGTCATGGGGTTTTAAATTTGCATTGTTATTTAAAAACTTGATCTGCAAAGTTGTGTAAACAAATAGTTATCGATCACTAAGTTACTGTACAGCCAATCAATATTTGTCTTACGAAAGTGAAACATCCGGTTATAACTTAGGCTTGATGAAAATAAATAGAAATGTAGCCTTAAACTCAACAAATTATTTTCAAGTTCTCTGGATTTGCAACTTTTATAGCATTTATTCTAAAAATATAAAATTTCTAAATTAATTTTTCGGGCAGATGAGGCTCGTTAGCTGGGGACAGCCACTCTTCTAGGAGAGACAACTCCAAAATCAAACAACTGCTGCCTTGTAGTTTGTTCTTGGTTGGACAAAGGCTATGGAAGCAAATCCAAAAAAGAAAAGCAGGCTGAAATCGGAGTCAATGGCCTCAATGGCGCATAACCAGTTGACACGTACCGCTTAATTGTGTTGGAGGCGTGGTCGAGTCGGCAAAAAGCTCATGGTTGATAAATTCGAACAAAGTCTCATGTTCAAACCCACTGGCAGATAAATCTCGATCCCCTTCAACACTAATAATTAAGAACGAAGAAGAAGAAGAAGAAGAAATTAATTTTAGGCTTAAGTTTTTTTTTTTTTTTTTTTACGGTCTAAATCTAAAAAGCACGTTTTTATTCCATGCCAACAACATTATGGAAGGAATCTCGTCAACTCGCTCGCCTCCATTTCTAACCATAAAATTAGTCGAGATTACAATACTACTAACAACCCAACACCCCCTTTTTAACATTATTGGACACCGGTATCTATAATCATCCAAAAAGGGTATCTAATTAAGGATAATTAAATGTAGTTTTTCATTCTTTAAGTCATCTTGAACAATATTGAAGTTAAAATCCTACCTTTACTTTGTATCCCTGGGGTGGCCTCAACCAACCGACAGGCTTGTTGCATTGAGTTAAATATAAAGCCAAAACAACAACAATTCGTATTAAATTAGTGAATTCAAGAATAGAATAGATCATAGAAAATTTAATGAAGTATGCACCGTACATTTACAGATGAGAGTTTGTACTGTCTGAACTTTTCGTTCTCTAGAGTAGACATTATTGCAATATTTAAAAAAATATTTTGGTACTTCTAATACAGTCATCTATAACTAGTAGGGGATTTATTTTGTTCTTAAACTTCACTTATTTGATCACTATTGGGGTTAGCAATTATAGGCCTACAACAATGACCATGTTTTAACTACACCTATTTAACAATATTCATAATTAAAATTATCCAATGTTGGCTTACTCAATTAAATTTCTTTTTAAAAGTTGTAAATTAATTATTGTTTTATTTAATTGAATTACTAAAAACTTTCATTACATTTATTTTAGAGTCGTGCAGTGCCAGGAGCAATTGAATATTTACAAAATACTCTTCACTGGGCAGGGATAGATCCTGATGAAGGTTGGTATCTGAGAATAGCAATACTTTAGGTATGTTAGTTGTCTGTGTCAGTTTTAGGGTTTGGTTAGACACTTTAGCGCCCATGGAATAATATAATTGTGGGTTATCTACTTCCCCCTCCTCATGCTACTGCTTTAGTTTTATACCCCAAGGTCAGAACTGTTTTATAAAAGGAAGTAGTTTTGGCCCAAGAATAGAAGGGTAATACCTTTGTGAAGTATTTAGAGGAAAATGTTCTTTGTCACTAACCTTAGTGTGAAATTTCATGTCAATTGTGATAGACAGAAGACTTGCGAAGTAAAGTGTAAGTGATAAAAATACAAGTACTTCACTGATAGGCACACATTTTATTTATGTTTACTAATACTTGGGTTTAAAATGGTTCAATATATTTATTGTTCTAGAAATTCTATGTACACAATGATCTCTATAAGATGTTATTAACCCTTCAGCCTTTCCTTCTAACACAATGTTATAACTGTTACCATCTCTACATTTTCAAAGTAAACTAAATTTTAGTCAAGTTTATAATGAGCTGTGCTCTGAAATTCTAGTAGTACATGTTCTAAAAAGGAGGTATTCAATAGTGCGAAGTAACATAAAACAGGCAAAAAATTTTTTCGTAAGTTTTATTCCTGACTATGAACATGAGTAGGATGTAGAACATACTATTTTTTTGCATTATTTTATCATTATGTATTTGTACATACACTTATAACAAGAAAAATATTTTTAGATCTTAATATTTTAATTAACACTGTGTATTAATCCTTAGGTCCTGTTGTTGGGGGCAGATTTGGTCCATACATTCAGGTAAATTACATTTTTAACTTATTTCCTTAATTACATATTAATGTCTTAAATTTTTTATCATTAATTAAAAAAAACAACAAAATATTGAAAAATTTAATTATGATTAAACGTTTGACTCTACAGTCTGAGAGGTTAAAAATTTATCAGGAGAACATTCAAACCCTACTGAAGAATGGATGGGCGTATCGTTGTTTTTGTACAGAGCGTAGGCTGGAACTGATGCGCAAAGAAGCAGCAAGGAAAGGAGAGCCATCTAGGTATGACAACCGCTGTAGATCACTGGCCCACAGTGAAGTTGAGGCGTTGCTAGCTCAAGGGACAGAGCACGTCATTAGACTAAAAGTAAGACATTAGTCTGATTTTTTATTTTATCTTAACTAATCTTTCATCTGAAATTTAATAATGAGATTTCTTAAATTGAATCTCAAAGGATCTGACATGTACTCCTCATAAGTTGGAGAAGTGAGCACTTAAACAAAATTTAACTTCCACTTGTACATAGCAGGGTTCTAAAAATAAAATTAAATAGCTGTAATTTATTGTTGATTTGAATAGTTTTGTAAAAATGCAACTATAAAAAATCCCATTTCAATGTTGATTTGAAGCTATTACCGCCAGTTATTGCACATAAGTTTCTATATTATTGCTGTTACATCTGTAGCTTGAGCCGACCCCTGACCCCTGGGACGACATGGTGAAAGGTGAAACATCACACGACATAGAGGACATAGAAGGTGACCCAGTGAGTAGCTTGTCTATGGCTTTTAAATTTTTTTTACTTTTAAAAAGTAACTAAGTTTATCATGACACATTTTGTCTTAAATTTTGTTTTGTAATGTGTTTCTTTTAGTCATTGAAATTAAGAATTTTTCTATGATTAATTACAACTTGCGCATCATGTTCAATATTAAACTTTACTAGAAGAAGAAAAAATTATTTAATTAAATAACAGCAATTTTTGTATATATATATGTTCGTTTCAATTTTCGTAAACATATGTTCATTTCAATGTTCGAAAATATATTTTCATTTACATTTTCATAAATATATGTTCATTTCAATTTTTGTAAATATATGTTCATTCAAATACACTCTTAGTGTTAAAAATATTTGTAGGTGCTTATGAAATCGGATGGCTACCCAACATATCATTGTGTAAATACATGTTCATTTAAATAAACTCTTACTGTTGAAAATATTTGTAAGTGCTTATGAAATCAGATGGCTACCCAATGTACCATTTTGTAAATATATGTTTATTTAAATAAACCCTTACTGTTGAAAATATTTGTAGGTGCTTATGAAATCAGATGGCTACCCAATGTACCATTTTGTAAATATATGTTCATTTAAATAAACTCTTACTGTTGAAAATATTTGTAGGTGCTTATGAAATCAGATGGTTACCCAATGTACCATTTTGTAAATATATGTTTATTTAAATAAACCCTTACTGTTAAAAATATTTGTAGGTGCTTATGAAATCAGATGGCTACCCAACATACCATTGTGTAAATACATGTTCATTTAAATAAACTCTTACTGTTGAAAATATTTGTAGGTGCTTATGAAATCAGATGGCTACCCAACATACCATTTTGCCAATGTTGTGGACGACCACCTTATGGAAGTGTCTCATGTTTTAAGAGGTTCTGTAAGTTTGGCATTGGTGTTTTATTTTAAATCATTAACAATTGTTTGAGATTTAAATTTTACCTAATGAGATCTACCTTTGTTTGCTAAATCAAAAACATAAACAGGATTTTTTTCTACTTTTATAGGAATGGTTACCATCAACACCTAAACATATATTGTTGTATAAAGCTTTTGGATGGCAACCACCTAAATTTGGTCATATGCCTCTGATAGTTAATCAGTAAGTTTTAACATCTCACTAAATATATTGAGCAAGGTTTGAGTTCTTAATTACATTTTTTTTTTAAGCTGTAATAAAATCTTTTTTCTCCAATTATTGTGAATACATACTTTTGAATTTTTTAATTAATTTGTTATATTGCATTATTAAAAAGAGTTTTATCACAAAATTTTTTTTTCCAATGTTTTTTTTAGAGACGGTACAAAATTATCAAAAAGGCAAGGTGATATCCATGTAGACTATTTTCGGGTAAGTTAATCTTAATTCTTGTGACGATTATAATTTTATTGTTTGTTACAACAACTGGTTTCTACTTCATAGAAAATTAATTGCATGTTTTGTTCTCTTTGCCATCCCTACAAAACATGGTTTTCAATTTTAAGTATGTTTAATTCATAGCAGTATCACTCTCTTTGTATGCCCTTCCTGGTTAGTTTAAGGATGTTTTAATGTTTTATTTCTATCATTTGAAGGAGCTTGGCTGCTTTCCTCAAGCTGTTCTCAACTACATCACAACTGTAGGCGGTGGCTTTCAGAAAAGTACATTGGACATGACATTACAGGAAATGTGTAGCAGTGTAAGTTTCTTTATCTCTGGTATTTTAATACAAACTTTTAGTGTTGTTTCTTTAGCACTGATATTTAAATAAAAAATTATATTGTACTATCTCTTATGTCAGTTTTAAAAACAATATTTTAAATTATACTGTTCAGCATCTCTATATTCTAGATTTAAATGTAAAATTATATCATAGTTTATCTAATGTCTGTGTTTTGATCTACCTTATAGATAACAATACAAAATTATTCTCTTGTTTCTTTACATTTAAAGTTTAAACACAAAATTATATTATAAGATTTTCTACATTATAGCTTTCTATAGTATAAAACTATTTTAGTTTCCCAATCTTATGGTTGTGAATACAATAAAATACATAATTATACTGTTATCCTTTAATACCTATATTCAAATCAAACTTTATAAAATGTTAGTAAATTTGTTGTTTTGTGTCATAAAGTGTAAAAACATGATGCTATATTTGCTCCTTTTTTTAGTTTGATGTGCGCAATATCAGGCGCAATTCAGGTCGGCTAAGTCCAATGTGGTTGCAAGAGGCTAATCGGCTGCATATTAAAAAAATGGTCAATTCTAATGACGCCAGTGTTGTTGATGATTTGGTCAGTCAAGTCAGGCAGCTGGTAGTCAGTAAATTTAACGACAGGTGAAATTACTTTCTTTACAGAAGTCGAGTTGACATAATAAATTCAGTTGGATATTAATTTAATTAGATGTTAGTATACCAGGCAGCTGGTAGTCAGTAAATTTAACGACAGGTGAAATTCTTTTCTTTACAGAAGTCGAGTTGACAATTTAGTTAGCAAATTTATTTAATTAGATGTTAGTATATTTGGACTCACTTGCATTGAATTTATTTTCTTGTGGTTTGAGATACTGAAATTTTTCTGAATAACCAGTTTCTTTTTCCTCCTATTCAAGAAAGGATTTTGTTGAAAATTTATTTTAAAATATTTTTTTTTTGACTTTATTGTAGACTGGGTGAAGGTGCCTTAAGAGAACAAGTGCTAAGGAAAGATTACATTGTTAAAATAATACGATGGAGTTTGCTAGAAGTAAGTTAAATATTTTATTCATTTTTGTAAGTTTCCTTTTATAAAACTGAGTTTGATCTCTTTAATTTCAGTAAACCAATTAAGTTTTTTTATAAGCAAGTTTATTTTGTGTTTTTGCTGAGTCTGTATAACTTAAAAATCTGTTGTTACTAAAAATTTATTAAACAAATCAAGAAAATATCCTTATCTGTTTGAATGAGAGCTGCATGAGAGCTGCATAAGACTATTAAGATACAATTTTTTTAACAACAGATGAGTAAATGAATTAAAGAAATAACCATAAAAAAGTTATTTTTAGTCACCTATTTGTGTAGCAATACTAGCATCATCAAAGCCTCAGCTATCACTACAATTAACTTTTCTTTAACTAATCTGTTTACAATTTTTCCCCCCTTTAACTAATCTGTTTACAATTTTTCCCCTCCTTTAACTAATCTGTTTACAATTTTTCCCCCCCTTTAACTAATCTGTTTACAATTTTTTCCCTCCTTTAACTAATCTGTTTATAATTTTTTCCCTCCTTTAACTAATCTGTTTACAATTTTTTCCCTCCTTTAACTAATCTGTTTACAATTTTTTCCCTCCTTTAACTAATCTGTTTACAATTTTTTCCCTCCTTTAACTAATCTGCCTACAATTTTTTCCCGTAGGACAGAACTAGCTACCTGACAGATTTTGTGGGCCCCGACTTGGAATACCTTTGGGTTACGCCATCTCCCACAAACCTGACTGAAGTGATGCTCATGGAGAAGAATGCCATCACACTGCTGACAGACTTCATGCACTGGGTGTCGTCAGTGGAGGACTTCAGCCTTGACAATCTCAACACACAGCTCAAACTTTACCTGGCTAGGAAACAGCTCAAGCCGAAGAAATATTTTGCATTGATAAGGACAGCACTCACTGGGTTAAAGGTTTGTTCGGAATGTTTATTTTTCTTTACAAATATTGCACTTTTGGGACTGCATGGTTGGGTGGTAGAGCACTTGACTAACAACCTGAAATTCTTGAGTTTGGATCAAGGCTTTACTATGTTTCTGAGTCCACCCAGCTCTGATTGGCACCAGACTGGCTTTATAGAAAGTAAAGGCGGCTTAGCATAGTGTTGACCACACCATCCCTTCATATGCTGAGATCAAGACACATAAACTATACTTTATCTGCCCATAGGATCATAAGGCCTAAAAAGGGGTGCTTTACTTTACTTTTGATGCATTTGCATGTTTTATTTCTTAGTTTAAAAAAATTATAACAAGAATTTAACCTAAATATGTCTATCGATTTCTTTGAAATTTATCTGTATTTGATGTGTGTTTTTTGTTTTCTATTTTTGCAACAGCAAGGCGCACCAATAGCAGAAATGTTGCATGTCATCGGCCATGACAACATAACTCACAGACTTGAAACTGTTCTAGAAAGTTTGAAACAGTTACCTTCTTCTTCGGGTCAAAATGTGTAATTTATCGAACGGGTGAACTTGAACAATTTAAATGGAGAAAAATGTTATTGTATGTAATGCATGTTTGAATGATATAGTTTGAGATTTTTCTAAATTGTGCATTGTATATTGTCGTTAAGAGGATGTGAAAGCTTTAAAATTACACATATATACCATTAGGTCTTAAATTTCATTGTACTTGATATTCATGTGATATTTTTTAAACATTAAATTAAGGAAACTAAAGAAACATGAAATTGTTTTGTTTAATTTAATAATTTCTTTGACAATAAAAAATAAATACTGCCTTATATCACACTTTATGCTTAGACTATTTTACATGTGACAATAAATAGAAAAAAAATACATATTTCACATACATACAAATTGTGCTGCCTTTTGGTTTAAAACACACACAAATGCATTATTTTCTTTCATGTCTATCTAAACATTAATTGCATTTAAATTTCATTTTTGGCTTGTCACAAAACTCAGCCAACAAAGTCTTTAGAAATGTACAAATTCATTATTACATTTCATAATATTGCCAAAGTTAGCATAAGTGTATGACTTAAAATATCACATCTAGATATTGATTGGGGGTATAAGGTCTATAATTGCTTCAAGCATCATCTTCGTCCATAACCTCCCTAATTTCAGCATCCTTGGGTTCTGTCATGTCTATTCGTATACCTGCAAAGATAAAATTATTCTAGCTTAATCTTTGTTATACATAATTAAAAAAAAAATAATAAAACACCTTTATGGCAAGGCGCCAATGACTAGTGAATATTGTACAGTTATCACTTTTCCCTAGCAGTACAGATATTCTTAGTGTGATAGTTTATTTAAATCATTTGGTTTAATGTTGAAGGTGAACAATACTTAATGAAAGTTAATGGAATTGTATTTTACAAAGAATTAATTTTAACATTAATACTCAACTGTTTTTTCTTAATTCAGTTAATTTTTTTTGGTAGTTTACTCTTAACATAATGCTAAAACAAATCATGTTGCTTATTTTTTAAAATTATCACTTTGCAAGTAGCTAACTAGTAAGGAAGGATAGTTATAGAAAAATTATTTGTAGCACTTTTCTCTGGTTGTACACAATGCTTGGGAAAGAATAAAAAATAAAACTTACCAACATAAGTAGGGAATCTAGGTGAGCCACCTTTGGTAATTTCTTGAAATTTGTAAGTAATGATGGTCCCAATCTTTGGTGGGTTTCTTCTATCCTTATTGTTTAACCTAAAGTTACACAAGAGGACACTTATTATTTTACCTGTCATTTAAAAAATTATGGAAACACAGGTTTCAAAAAGGGAAATTATTCAGTGTAATCCCAACAGAAATATTAAGTTTTTAAAGAAAAGCATACAACCACTTCATGTGGTATACAGTTTTTAAAAATACCGCCATAAAATGTTTTATGATAATAGTGATGAGATTTAAGATCTGGTACTCACCCTGACCCAACAGAGAATTCCTTCCCACAAGCCATGCGACATCTGAGTGCTCCACACAGGCCAGGGTTAGATTTACTGTCTTCATGTCCTATGACAATGGCCTGATGTAATCAGAGTAATTAAATTATAGTATTTTGACAGTCAAACTAACAGAGTATACAAATAAATGATCCAACTATTATATAGTTAACAATGCAGATTTCAATTTTGTATTGTTAAGTTATAAATTGAATGTCTTTTTTTTTCGAAAATACTGGCAGAAAATTTGAATAAATGTTAATGTTTTTCTGATACAAAAAAATTAAATAGTGTATGACTGTGGGAATTCATTAAAAAAGAAAACATAGTTTCATTAACATTTGGCAATACAGATGTGTGATAAGAAATAAGCTGCAAGTTTTCAAACAGCCAGTTTTTCTAGCTCTAAGTTACATTTTTATGTTTAGTTGTTTTAATTTTATAATGAAAATAAAAAAATGAGTCAACAAAATTCTAGATTTAAAGAAAATCACCTCTGCGTCATAAAACTTCTTTATCTTGAGGAGTGTATCCGACCTTGTAGCTTCATATTTAGACAAAGGTTTGCGAATCATTAACCCTTCGCCTCCCATGTTGAGAACTTTGGTTAATTTTTCCTCTAAATGTTCTTTACTTTTGCACTTGACTTGCTCAACAAAAACAGCATATTCTGGTCTGCAAGGGAAACAACCACAACATTTACTTTGATTAATAGTTTGTTAATTGGCATATGGCATTTGTTTTAATTAGGTTCTTCTACTTAAAATGTAGTGGTTTCTTTTTCTTTTAATTGAAATTAGAAGAGTTTGCATTTTAAACCCTACCTATTAACTTCTAGCTAATATGTGGGATGCAAGTTATAATTTAAATATATTATAGTATAAACATTATGTCTGTTTTTCGTTATTTAATCAGGCATGTTGACAAGTATAACAATAAAATGAATTGTTTGAAAACATCAATTAAAAAATAACGAAAAAGAGAAGATATCAAATGTGACATACTGGTGCTCTTCAAAGTAATCCTTAATAATGTTCATTCTCTTCTCAAAAGTTTCCTTTCCCATTCGTGGTGAGTCAAACACCTGAAATGAGAATTAAATTCTATCATAACTTGTGTGTGAGCACATACAGCAGTCAGTAATAAAACTGTTCAGCATTGAAGATTTTATTTTTCAGACAAATAAAATATTTAAATAAAATCTTTTATAGCATAAAAATATAAGGTAAAAAACATTGACAGCTAATGGAATCAAATGTTTGTATTGCCCGATTATATTGATAAGCATTGCCAGATTATATTGATATTATTGATAAGTTAAAATGAAATAAAAATATTAAACTATTGTTTAAAAGCCTTGTTAACATCATAGAGTTAAAAAAAAAAGATGACTAATTTTTCATCAAGACAAAACTTTATAAATCTACAATCACTAAAATAGGCTAAACATTACAACAATGGATGATTCTACTTATGTGAATTATTTTTGTACACTCACATGGTATTTGATGTCTTTCCACTTGGGACTTTCAGCAGTCTTTACAATGCTGACTGTGGACTGGAATTGACCTCTGCCACCAAACAACTCTCCATCCAGATAAATATCTTTAGGTAAATCCTGTTCATTAGACATATAAAGAAAATCATTAACGTTGAATAAAAAAACTGCATAATGAAACTGTGTATTTAAGCATGTGTCATTGTTATGTGTACTTAATATTATGAATAAATGCTAGCTATAATTCTTTATTAACCTCTTTATATGTTGGCCTACCTTTGTAAACCAATCAGGTGCGTAAAAAGCATTTCCTAGTCTGGAGTAAAAACAACTGAAAAATAAAATGAAGTTACAAAACATTAATTTTTAAAATTTTAATAATCTAATTCACTCAACCCCATTTTAAAAACTCAGACAGCTTCTCACATCAAGTTTAATTTACTAAACATTTTCCAAAATAATTTTTTTTTTCAAGCACTCGGATCTCAGTGTCTCAAAAAAAAGAAGAAAACAATTACCTTCCAGTCCATATGGCCCTCACACCATCTAGCTTTTCACTGATCCACCAGCCAACTGGATTATTTTTACTGAAGATTTTAAAACCAATTAAATTAAAAAAACAAAAACCACTCACTTATGAAGACCATTCTAAATAAGAAATCGTAATAATTTTACATTTGCAATTTGTTCAAGCTATAAATTATTAAAATAAACAAAAAAAAAAAGCAGAAGTTATTTCCTTTATCTCTTTAGAGTGATCAATCAATCATATTTTGTTGCATTTACTTCGTAAAACATTGATGTAACAAACAGGACAAATTGAAACAATAGCAAACCTTCAATAAAACATTTTAGCTATGTTTTAAGTAATTATGTTAAATGAAAGTATATTAAAAGTTATGAATAAAAAAAACAACTTACGTTTCATCATATTTCTTGGCCAATAGAACACTGACTTGTATGTGTGATTTTATTGATGGCTTTTTTGGCTTCTTGCTAGCCTCAAGCCTCTTTTGGTCAAACTCCTCACCAAGATATTCTTTTAAATGTTTGCATGTCCTTTCATTTATAGGCGCCCTCTGGATAAGAAACCCCTTACACCTAAAGAGGTCAGATACAAATTTTAAAAATGAAATTGATAAAAAAATTTAAAATCAATAATTAATGTTCAGTTAGATCTTAGAGTAACCATTTATAAATTAAAACATTAAAAATGTTTGATTTTATTGTACAATTGCATTATTATTAGTACATTAAAATCAATAAACTGCAATAGTCCAAAGACTAAGGTTTAGTGAGATTGGGCTATATTCTAACTTACGTGCATGAGTAAATATCGTCTTCTCGTTTGAGCTTATAGCCTGTATTGAACTCCACTGTGTCCCCATCTTCCAAAGGATTGAGAGATTCTTCTGATGATGACTTACTTCTTGTGTTTTTCTCTTCCTCTGGTGAAAAGAATTTACAACAACATAGAAAAAGATATAGATCCAAGTCTAGACAAACACTGTTTTAACCAAGAGTTTGCAAAAAACCTGGACACTTAAAAAATAAAAGATTTTCTGAACCCGTATTCAAATTCTAGATCTAGATCAACTACAATTCCCTTCTTTAATTTTTTTTCTTTCAATAAATGACAAATGAGTGATCTCAATCAGAAATTTCCGTTCAAAAAAGTTGTCTATTTCCATATTTAGATGATTAATTTCATAAATTAAATTAAAATTATTATTGTTTAAAATGTTCTTAAAATTTATCGTAAAAATGATCTTTACCTTTATCTTCTTCATCTTTAGGATGGTAGAATTGCTCTTTATGTGTATCGCTTGTCTGATAACATTTGGCCCAATACTTGCACTTTTGCCGTTTCTCCTGATATTTGATAATTTTAGGTGGAGAGTTATTTTTCTTGTTTTCATTTTTTGAGCTGCCCGCTGCTTCTGGGGCTTTTGAATTAGCTTTTTTAGTTTTCCCTTTACTGTAGTCAACTGCGATTTTTTCTTCTTCAGAAGTATCGACTTTTTGTTTTTTTGCTGGTGGTGGTTTGCTGGTGGTCGGTGGCTTTGTGGGATTGGATGAGGAGGGTTTTGGGGTATCTGGTGGGGTAGAGGAAGTAGATTTTGCTTCTTCTTCTGCCTTCCGTTTTGAGCTTCGCCTTATCATGGACGGGACCTCGTCATCAGAACCGCTAATAGCATGGACAATACGCTGCATTGGATATACAATTTTTTTAGTTGGTTTGCCAAATAGAAAAAAAATAAAAATAAGATCCTTAAGAATCAACAATCAAAACAAAATGCGTGTCAGGAATATTAAACATTGCTCCTCGATGTAAGGTACAAAGTGTTCATTGCTTCATATCAAGATCCTGGTCAGAACATTTGGCCTACCTAATAACTCTTGGCCTATAGCCCCCCCCCCCCCCCATATTTAAAAATTCCTTTTTGTTTAAAAAAAAGAGGCATATTACAAATAACATTTAGAATCTAGTTTTTTTTTAAGAATGACGTAATTGATCTGAATATTAAAGAGGCACACTTTTGTGTGTCACATAAGTAATGGTCGTGTTTCTTTCATTTTCTCCGCGGGAGAGCGGGATGGGGGGGGGGGGGGGGGGGGGGTAAACGTGGTTCGGAGTAATGCTCTCCCTTCCCCTGAAGAGATGCATGAAAGAAACTCTGATTATGGGCTTATTTCACATGCATCTACCAAAAACGCCAGGAAATAACATTTATCCTAATAAAATTCGATCTATTTAAAAGAGACAACCTTGCAACTCCGTTGCTTAAACACAACTCCCAACACAATGGCCCTAATCAATAAAGCCGGAACATATGGTCAATATGGATTATTTATAGCTATTGATTTGCTTGCTGACTATAGAAAACCTTAACTAAAAAAAGCGATAAGATACGAATAAAAAAATAAAACTAACTGTTTTTGAAGGTGCAGCAGCTTTATCATCTTCGTCCCCTGGATGTGAGAATTCCTCCCTGTGTTTCTTGTTTTTACGATAACATTTGTCCCCAAACTCGCACTTTTTCTTCATTGCTTCGACTGCTGCCATGTTAAAGATACTTCTGTTCTCGCAGAGCAGGGAAATAAAGCGTATGATTTCAACGAATTCTCTCCACAACTTGTTCAGTGATTTTTTTTTAAATACTGGCAAAAATGTTAACAATTTGAATACAAGGGCTATATGTCCAAATATACCTCACTAGACACTTCTTATGTGCTTACAAAAAAGACTTCTAGATCTAGATCTAATTTTATTATAACTTGAATGAATATTACAATTATTGTATTACCGACATAAAAATTCAATAAGACACGCCCCTTTTAGTCAATTAACTCTGATCAGCTCAAAATTACTGATTAAGTAACATAATATTACTTATAATTAAACAGTTGATTCGTTTTTCGCATATTTTATTAAAGAAAGCTGTGCTACTTTAACTGAGTTCGAAATGTGAATTATTTCAACACTAACGGGACTATCTTACCAGCAACGTTTATATTTCCCTCAAGCAAGTAGCAACCTGACAACTAAAAATAAAAATCTATAAATAACTACTTAGTAATGCTCCGCGAAGAAATCAGCTTTTCCGGATTTATCAGCGAAGCAGAAATGGGCCTTCCCGATAAACATATACCAGAATCCTAAGCGTAGGTGCCCAATCCATTTCCATTTGTCATTTTATAGTGTTTTGTTTTCTACCCAGTGTTGTTATTTAAAAAAAACAACAACAGATCTATATAGGCCTACTCCTTAGGCACCTATTTATAAATGTTTGTATTCTTTCCAGTGGCGTAGCGAGGTCGGGTGTCACCCGGTGCGGCACCTAGACCTAAGGTGTCACCATATTCCACGTAAGAAAAAAAAATGTATATATATATATATGGTTCCATGACAAATGATCTCAGGACAAATGATCTCAGACAAAATATCTCAGACAAAATATCTCACGGACAAATGATCTCAGGACAAATGATCTCAGGACAAATGATCTCAAGGACAAATGATCTCAAGGACAAAAGATACCAGGACAAAATATATCAGGACAAATGATATCATGGACAAATGATCTCAGACAAAATATCTCAGACAAAATATCTCACAGCAAAATGTTAATAGTATGTACAATGATTTTAGTTCATTTGAACTTTTTTTAAATTGACTGTCAATATGGTTTTGTTTACTTTCTTTACGCATCATAATTGTGAATAAAATGAATTTGTTAAACTTAAAAAACCACAAAAGATTTATTTAACTTAATCTTTGTAATGGCCTTTTATTTGAAAAAATAAAAATTAAAACAAACTTTCTCCTTTAGCCTGAAAGGTATGATAAATGATAATGTATGAAACAAAGTAACGGTAGCTATACAACAATAATGTTTAAAACATGCGAAATATCTTTCAAAAATGTTAATGGGTCTCCAGGTTCGTAACGTAAAATTATTGTTTTTATTACATGATCAACACAAACATCACGTTTACGTTTCTTTGCTGACAGTACATCGTTATGATCACACCTCTCCAATAATATGTGATTTGTATTGTGTGAACTCTTGCTCGACATGTTCTAACTCCGCGATGACCGCTGTTTGTCTTAAATAAGCATTAGTCACCTGATCACTAAGGTGTGACCGACGCTTAACTATTGAATTTAGCTATTAGTTGTATTGTTCATGGAGGGCGGATGCCTTCCCTTAAGACATGTCTCTACCATCAAAGCGGGCTGCCACCTTGATACGAAGGTGTTTCTCTATTGTTATTTCATCCTCTTTGATCTAGTTTCGTCCACCTGACATGGTTGGATTGTCTCATGTTTGGCAAGCCCGCCTACGCTGTCTATCGAACAATTTCTTTAATCTTCTATAGTAATAATCCTAATTTTAAAATGCAATATACAATTTTAAAAGTGCAATATGATAAATTTATGCGGCAAACATTTCTTACAATTATCATATGGGCCTGTAAACAATATTAAACATATTAAACAAAACCATACGACAGTTAATAAAAATTGTTCAGATCAACTAAAGTCACCCAAAACACTATTAAAATTTAGGTGTGAGATATTTTCTCTTAGATATTTTGTCTGAGATCAATTGTCCGTGGTATCATTTGTCCTGATATATTTTGTCCTGGTATCTTTTGTCCTTGAGATCATTTGTCCTTGAGATCATTTGTCCTGAGATCATTTGTCCTGAGATCATTTGTCCGTGAGATATTTTGTCTGAGATATTTTGTCTGAGATCATTTGTCCTGAGATCATTTGTCCTGTCACCATATATATATATATATATATATATATATATATATATATATATATATATATATATATATATATATATATATATATATATTCCATAAACACTTGTAAGTATGTGTGTACGCATGTGTATATGTATTCAATTCTTTTTTCCTTCTGGATGTATTTAATTTTTCACCCCCCCCCCCAATCGCATACATGGATTAACACATAAGTTATTACAATTCTCAACCAAACCGTTTTCCTCAGGCATTTATTGCAACGTTGCGTTGATGTAACTTCCCACCCCACGTCACTCCCACGGTGATTGCTTTGAACTGTGCTCAGATAGTATTAACGATTTTTATCTATATTCGGTTATAAATACAACTGGATGTATCATTCGCAGGTTTACGTCATGGTGTCATCCCTCCCCCCTCCCCCCGTATCGGGATTTGTCAACTTTGCTCTTAAACGACTATTAAATTCACTCTAATTAATCATTTCATTACGTAGAATTATCATTTTTCTGTATATGTTTTGCTTTTTTTTGCCTTGGTGTCACCCCTTATAAATTGTTACCCTGTGCGGTCCGGACCCCCCCCCCCCCTCTCGCTACTCCTCTGATTCTTTCTGCTGTTGACACTGATATTTCCATGTCTTGAATCCATTTTTAAGTGATACAATGATTTTATTTTACAATTTTATATAACTTTTAAATTCACTATATTTTTTTAGAGTCTATTAGTATAATCGTTATAGGCTGTTAACTTTATTTTTAAAAATTTACAGATGGGAAGTAATTAATTAAATTATGTTTTTTTTTTAAACTGTGGCGAAAAACAAACAATAACAAACACCTATTTTATGTTTATTCTTACAAGCGAGGTGACGAAGGGATTCATTCCCCCCCCCCCCCAATTAACTTGTCTGCCTACCTTCGGCTTACAGCGCCATTGTGTTCGGTTGGCGGCTTATAGTTTTCCTATATTTAAATAATAAATATAAACTGTTTAATTTAAAAAAAAAAAATTCTCCCCTATATTTTTTCTAACTTTTATAAGATACTAAAATTTTTAGATAACTTTGGATCTTTGTTTAGACCTGTCTCGCGACAGTTTAAAACCAGACATGTTTTCTCGCTTAATGTACTCACAAAAACGTGTCAACATGACATGAGTATATGTGCTGGAGTTTCCTTTTAAAATCTGCAAATAGATGTGCACTGCCTGTGGTTTTGCAATGATGAGTTCAATGTGTTATGACCGTCAGGATTGACCTGGGTAGGGCGACTAATCTGACCAGTAGGGAGTGGCATGGGGATTTTTTCACTGTACCTTCCTTGTGATTTATGATAGGTGTTGAAACTTAAGTGTGAAATTAAAGTAGATATCATAGACAGATATCTGTTTCCTCATATTCATGTGCTTGTTTTTAACCCATCTTGGTATACCGGGGTTTGTTATGAATTTATAATACTTTTGTAATACTTTATTTGCGACAACGACAATCAATACGATAACGTGGATATTATTCACATAATTTTTATTTTTATTGGATTTTATTGATTTTATTTTTGTTTTGACAAAACTAATTTGAAAAACAAATATTCAAAAACAAAGTAAAATTCAAAGTAGATAAAATATTTATTTGCGCTTTGTAACAGTAATACATATTATACATCAATAGAGATTGTCATTCTTATAAAAGTATTTTGACACATTTCTTTTTTACATTAAAACTTGGTACTTGCGAATTGTGATACTAATATAAAACATATAAATCTCTTTCATTTGACTAGTTGCATAGTAAAATGTATCTTAAAAATAGGTATGAATATAAGTTTATATAATTTTTCAATAAAAATAAAATAAAAAATAAAAAAATAATATCATGCACCAAAATGAATAAAAATTCATAGCCCTTTTAAAAGAAAAAAAAATCATAATTTGTCGTAAAATAAAATCAAAGATTTGTTGATTATTATTATACACTGTTTAAAAACAATCAATCCACTTGTTCTAAAATTCAGACAAAGTAAATTAGATATACAATTTAATTTGCATTTCATATAAGCTTATAATCTGTATATAGAAAGTATTTGTTCGAGGTTGATCCACAATATTTTCTAAAGCCATACAATTATATAAGGAACCCTAAAGTAACTTAGAACTAGTCTATAATAACCTAGTAATAACATTAAAATATGATGGTAATTAGGAAGTTAGAAACCAGTCATGAATGTAGCCTGTCATGTTCCCCGACAATGTATAATATTATAAATGTAAAAAATAAAATTAAATGTAAAATTAAAAAAACTAAAAAAGACAAACCATACTAATTCTATTAAGCAAAAGTTCACACATATTTAAATTTTTAAAAGTTATTATCACATTTTATTTTAGATACATAACACATCTCTAAACTGTTGTTCTATATAATTATATACAAATATGAGCTTCCAAAATTAAAATCTGAATCACAGAAAATATTAAGCCTACAAAAAAGTGGTTTTGTCACTATTTAAAAAATTAAATGTTATACACAATTTTAGTGTTTGCCCGACATGCTTTAAGAATTTGGTCTGTCAGTAGGTATTTTAACACGGCAAGAGCTTTAGCCGTAAACAGCGCAAATCCGTAGTGGGTCATTGGGATGTGTTTCTGGGGAGAGAAAATAAATTCAGAATATTATTGCATTTTGTTTTATTGTGATTTTTATTTTGCAAACATAAAAAATAATCATCTTTCTAAATTAAAACCAAAATGTAATATATTTAATTACAAACCGAAATTATGTTTAAATTATTTTTAAGAATAACAAAATAATTTAGAAAAACTTAACCTGCGATTGCAATGATAATAAAATTTATTGAAACTATTATAAAAAAAAATGATAAAAAAAA